CCTGGTATTACAACCTCCAGGCTGTACCTGGAGGCTGGCATCCCTAAGTACAACTCAGAATACTGATTTCTAGTCTGGAGATTTCCTAGTATTATGAGTGATCTCCAGGATGCACTTGGAGGCTGGCATCCCTAAGAATAATGCAGAATACCAGTTGGTGGGGGACAAACAATGGAGGGGCTATTGCCTTCATAACTGATCCGTATTAGACATTTTAAAATATATTTTAATATACATAAGCTGTCTCAAAGAGTTTTAAAAAATGGAAGCATGGAATATAAATATCCTAAATTTAAAAAATAATTAAATGCCATATTTGTGGTCTTCCCAGAAGCATCTGAATGGCCACTGATAGAAATGGACCTTTTTCATTATGTAGAAAATCTATAGGGACCTGCTCGACATGGTTCTTGAAGTAAAAATTCAATAAGATCATAAAAACAGCAATGGAAGTTTTATCAATAATAAAACATCACACTTCCCTGGGTGGACTTGCCCAGATTACTGCCCCCCCTTCTCATTTGTCAATATACCTCCAAATTGGGTCCAGTATACAATATCCTCATGCAGTACTTAACTGCAGCAAAACAGAGCAAAACTGTCAAAACAGAGATAATCAGATGTGGTTTAACTTTAAACATACTGCTCCTTTTTAATTCGAGATAATGACCCTTGAAGTCTGCAGTTAAATTACTGAGCCTTAACCAGTTAACAAATGAAGACAGGTTTGAGACTTAAAAAAAGAAAATGCACCTCACCAGTGTATTCTCAGAGGTAAAATCAAGAATCCTAAAGCACTTAGCACATTATACAGACTAATAGCACTGCTGTAGTAAATGCCAAAGGATTAACACAAGTAGAAGGTTAAGCATGGTCATTTGAAAAATAAGGTTTTGTGTCTACTGATATTTAACATACAATCTCTTCAGCGAAGTATAAAAAGACAGACACAATGAAAAAGGCCGTCTTCAAGAGTGAAGTTTGTGACACCTTCACACAAGCCACAGAATCAAGACTTGCTTTTTAATCACAGTTACACAGAAACCAGATGTTAAAAGGGTCAACATGATGGGCAATTCTCAGAGGTAACCCACATCAAGGCTAAAGAATGGCTGCATCTGTGCCAGAAGTAGATTTCTGCAGAGTCAGAGGCTTATACATAATTCACAGGAGTCTTCCAACAAAGGCCATAGTGTTCTGCAGTAGAAAGTCACACAACTGGAATGTGAACAATTCAATGCAGTAAAAGAACAAGATCCTGCCCAGAAACATCAGCAACAGAGAGACCTCTGCACTGCTCACACAAGCTGTTTCTATTGCAGGTTATAAGTACTACAGAACAAGGCTAGGTTTCCAGAGGGTTAGTTTTGCTTTCTCAACTGAATCTGGAAAAAGTTGTGCTGTTGCTTTTCCAGACTCTCTTGGAATCAGCTCTTCTTATTCACTGTCTAAGCAGACAGATGCAAACAAGAAGACGAAAAGTACATCAGAAGCACCAGGACTAATTTCTTTGTCTTCTCCTCTTTACTTGAGTGCAGGGGTGGCCAAACTTGCTTAATGTAAGAGCCACATAGAAGAAACATCAGATGTCTTAGAGCCGCAAGACATGAACAAGTATTACAGACATGTTTTTATTGGGAAATATGCAAATTTGCTTTATTAACATTAACATTAAATAAGACTGCCAGAAATAAATACAAAAGGGGTTAAAACAGATATTGATAATGGTATTTAAAGAGACAAATGCTTTGAGAACACATTTAAAGTTTAAGTTGCTTTCTTTCTCTGCTCCCCCCCCCACCTCAAGTCTACCCAGGGAGGGGAACACTGGCTGGGGAAGGGAAGACCAGTCGGGGAGGCATGCTTCCCCTTCACTTCCCCAGCCACCCTGCCAGGAGCCACAAAATATGAGTGAAAGAGCCGCATGTGGCTCCCCAGCCACAGTTTGGCCACCCCTGCTTTAGTGGGTTTTCTGCTGGCGAAGTACCAAGCAGATCAGGATGATCCTGGTCTCCTAGACTCTGGCTAGACCAGTCTAACTCCTGTGGCAGGGAGATTGTTCACATGGCTCTCTCAATGCACATGGTGCTTTACCGAGTAAATAAGTAAAACCACAGGTCCTTGCCCCAAAGGGCTTGAGGGTATGTTCAGATGGGGAGGGGGCAGCAAGGGTAAAAGGACTGATATATGCAAATTAAGTTCATACAGAGGCCAATTAAAACCTAAGCTAAGTAAGGACCTTGGCTTGAGCCAAAGTATTCAATGAAAAGATGGGAATTGAAGAAAACAAAAAGGTGGTATCACACAAGTGTTCCAGGAAGGAACACGAAGCACAAGGCACAGCAAAGTAGAAGGGAGTAAAGTTATATAAGAAGCCTTTGAGCAGCTTAGGGTGATGGAGTTGAGGCGGCAAAGAGATGAGGGCAGATGAAGGAAGGTGCACTCAAGGCCATGGAGAAGTTAATTTTCTAAAGACAAACAGCTTACACTGGCTACAGAGGGGAACGGTAAGCCCGCAGAAGGATATCACTTGGTTTGAGTGACAACTGACTCTGACAACAGTCCTGAACAGCATGCAACTGACAAGTCAAGAATGCTATGAAAAATTAGGACAAGAACTTTGATTTATCTACTTATTGGGCAATCTGCCTTAATTCTATATTGAGTAGTTTTTCCTGTTACATGGTTAGTTCGCTCTGGCTAGCACCGCTCTGATAGCCCAGACCAGGTTACTGTGTTTCCTGGTGACACTGCACGTGAGTACGCACACAGTACCAGAAAGTGACATGGTATCTATGACAGAGGATCAGCAGTAGGAATGTAATAGCAATGATCATGGGGGGAAGGGGGGGACAGATAGGTTAGTCAGAGAAACTCAGTGGATCTGATGTGGCCACACAATGTTAGTTGGAAGAGCTCATGCTTCCTTAAGTCTGCCTAGTTCTGCCAATACTTATTCACAGCCAAGATTCCTTCCACAGAAACTCATACACTTCCTTGAAGGCTCACAGAAACTCTCTTTATCATACTTCCACAACAAAGGATGTTACCCTGAAACAGGGGTCATTTCGTAGAAAAAGAGGTGCAGGAGCTCATTAGCATAACTCATTGGCATAACTCATCTGCATATGCCACACCCCCTGACATCACCGGAAGTGTGTCAGAAGGCAACACCCACCGCTCAGGCTCCACTGGACTGTTTTGGATTGCTAGCTATTGGGGGGGGGGATGTGCAGATCTGTCCTCACAGAGGAGGGAGAGCTTGTACCTGAATAAAACCTGGTCTTAAAGGTGCCACTGGACTGTTTTGGATTGCTAGCTATGGGGGGGGGACGTGCAGATCTGTCCTCGCAGAGGAGGGAGAGCTTGTACCTGAATAAAACTTGGTCTTAAAGGTGCCACTGGACTGTTTTGGACTGGGGCGGGTGGGGGGGGGCTCTGAAACTTACCTGGCTGCTTCTTGCTCTGACTTAGGGCTGGTGGGAGCAGGGGGCGGGGCTTGTTGCATGTGCCCACCCCCTGGGCTCTTTACTGCCAGAGCTCCGCTCCTGTGCGCTCCTGCAGGAAATGACCCCTGCCCTGAAAATGTTCATAAAATGCCTGTGTATATTCCCCCATTAGGAAAAATACAGGCTACAACCCAACACAGGCACAGGAAACTAAAAGCAGCCCTGCTGGAGCCAACCAAAGAGACATCTAGAGTTCTACATTCCATTTCCTACAGTGACTAGATAGCTGTTCCTGGGATGCTCAGAAGCATGGCATGATGGCAATAACATCCCTCATAAATTGCTTATCCTCCAGAAAAGATAATCAGACCATTCTTGCTTTGAACAAAGAGGTTCTATTTAGCTATCATAACTAATAAACACATACTAGTAAATCTAACCATGAATCTGTATAAACCTACCTAGCTGGTAGCCAGCACATCACCTTGTTGCATAAGCTGATTATGCATTCTAAAACTAAGAGACTGGTGGGGGATTTCCTTGTCCACTTTGTCCACACCATCCATTAACTTATGTTTTTCTCCAAACTTAAATGTCTTCATATACTTCTGCCTTTTCCACATATAGAAGATAGCCCAACCATCTGCATCTTCTGCACCATTCAGACTTCTCAGTATTCTTTTTGACACAAGACATCCAGAACCATGCACAGTATTCCAAATCTAGCTGCACAGTTCCATATCATCCTGGACACTGCATTTGCAATCCCTTTCCTAATAATTCCTAAAATGGAACGAGCTGTTTCACTACTGCTGCATGTATATAGAGCTGATACTTCCGCTGAGCTATTCACCATAAACTGAAGAAATCAAACACCTAATTCTGTGTTGGATTGTGGCCACAGCATACAGATGAGCAGCCCCTTTAGAAAATATAACAACAGGCAAAGATATTTAAACATTGCACTGGCCTCACAGGCTAACTTTGGGTGATTTCCCACAAGCGCTGCTCCGCGCTCAATCTTCTCTTTGGCCCGATGGTACGTGTCAATTACACACAAGCTGCTGCGTGACCGCATTTTGCCCCGCAGCTTCATGCGATTTTCCCCGCGTCTACTCAATCCTATTTTTTGAGGATTGAGTAGACGCGGGGAAAATCGCACGAAGCTGCGGGGGCAAAATGCGGCTGCGCAGCAGCTTGTGTGAAATTGACATGTACCATTGGGGCAAAAGGGAGGAGTGAGCGCGGAGCAGCGCTTGTGGGAAATCACCCTCTGTTTCTGATTCCAAGGCTTCTACAAAAAGGGCACTGGAGATCATTTTGAAGCAAGCAGTATCACATCCTTCTATATTCAAAGTAAAGTTTCATCTCAAGCAATTTATAATGGGATGGCAGGCAAAGAAAAAGAAAATTCAAAATGGCCACTTTTTGAGCTAAAGAAGGCACAGAGAGGTACAGCTGAAATCAGTGAGATGCTTTTTAAGACACAAACCATGGCATGCTGAAGGAAAATTAGATTAGTGAAATGCAAAGGAAGTGAAAGCAGATTACCTGAAGGTTTATTCAGCTGTGACGAAAATATAGGGGGAGATTTCTCCTTTTCTTTAACAGAAGCAACTCCTCTCTCAGCTTCCTTTCCTACTCTGACAACCTTGCTCTCTATAGGCAAAGGAGAAATCTCAGCTGCTGACACGGACTCCTTAATTCCTTCTCCCTCCAGTTTTTCAAAGGGTTTTTCCAAAACAAGCCCCCACTCTTCAACTTTGACAGGTACATCCTTTAAAGACAGGTCCTGGGCTACCTCTTGGCAAGGAGATTGCCTTGATTCAGTTTTCATGATATCACTTATTTCTCTGCTTTCATTTTCCTTCAATGCATCTTTTTGGATTGTTCCCACCACTGACTTAGTAGCCTGATAAGAGAGAACAGGGAAGTCATCACTCTCTGGAGAGGATTCTGCAGATGGCACACCTTGGTCTCCTACTTGGGGTTCCCTAGAAATGAGGAAATTGTCTGAATAAGTATCAAGTTCTTCCATTTCTAGCTGGGGAGTCTTTTCTTGCTTAGTCAAGTCTGCCGCCTCCATTTCCAGAGACCAGGCTGTAGGGACATTTTTGGAAGGTTCAAGTTGAGACTGGAAGGATTCCAAGTAGGGCTTGCTAAGGGAAGATGGCAAGACCTCACGTTTCTCCATGTGACCTTCCTCTGTAACAATCTTGGCAGTAGTTTCAAATGGTTTCTCTTTCACAACTTCCCTTTTTTTCTGAGCAAGATCAAGTTCTGGCTGACTACTGAAGAAGTCACTTTTTCCAGATGGTGGTGACGGTTTCTCAAGATGCTCAGAATACTCAGGCGCAGGCTGTGAAACACATTCTGTCAGCACAGTCTTAGAATAATCTATAAAGGCTGGGGAAGCAGATTCATTAGAGACTTTTGTTTCTTTAACTAAGTCACACGCGATAGATATATAAGAAGTCTCAAAGTCTTCTAGAGCACCACCATTCTTATAGTCAGATTCCTTAGGAGCAGTTTCAACTGTGGTTACCTGTGCTGGGGTTGCTGGTACATTCATTGCCTCCTGATAGGAAGGAGGCTTCTCGAACTTCTGCATTACATTCCCGTAGTCATCAGCAGCAGAAGTAAAAGTTTCCACTGGGGAGCTTTCAAGTGGTACAGCAGAACTAGCCATCCCCACAGTGCCTGTATTCAGTGGTGCCTCCATAACAATATCTGGTAAGACTGGGGAGGGAGTTGCTTCAGATCCTCCTTCAAAGGAGGGGCAGAGCTGTACAGCAACATTCAAAGGTTCTTGCAAGGACTCAGATGTTTGGACCAAATCAATCTTTGTTTCATAAGCAAGTTTGGGGCTGACTGAATCATGCAATTCACTTTCATATGCTTCTTGCACTAAATCTGGAGTGAGGCCTTCAGCCACAGACGCAGCATCAACAGGCATCTTCAGCAGACTCTCCACTTTATCAGATTCAACTGTCTGGCCCTGGCTGCTTGTTGACTCAGCAGGGGTGGTGCTAGACTCTGTGCCAAAATGGGCCTTCATTTCTGCTATCTTTTTCTCATCTGTTTTATTTTGAGAAGCTTGTTCCTCTCCTAGAGACTTGGCTGCTTTGCCCTCAATAGTCACAGCTGACTCAAAGTTGGCACAAGTAATATACGTTTGCGGAGATTCTTTTCTAGTTTCGGGAGTACTTGGGAAAGAAATGTCTTCATTGCTGCTTTCACTCTCTTTTTCAATGTCCTTTTGTATGAGCAGAAACTTTGCCTTATCCACATCATATTTATCTATGCCACTGTCTAATTTGCCATCCACCTGATCCCTAGCTACATCTTTCAAGCTGCTGTTTTCATTACTGGCCCACGTTGGCTGAAAAGGCTTGAAATCCACATATTCTTCCCTTATGGAGTGGTTGTCTACAAAAGTCACTTTTTCAACATGATCATCAATATCATACTTCCTATCCTCAAGAGATCCATCTTTATCATTCTTTGCAAATAACTCAACAGGCGAGTCTGGGGAGGAGTCCGGCTGGTATGCTGAGAATTTGCTTGTGTCGGACCATCCTTTACTGTCTATTGATTCCTTAGCCTGAGATAAAGAGAATGGTTCTGACTCTGGGTATGGAGGCACCACTCCGAAACGTTTGACTTCTGGAACATTGCTTGGTTCATCATCATCTGCAAGGAATGGATTCCGTGCATTTTTGGTAGTTGCTTTAAATGCCTCCGTTTCAGTATGACTGTAACTGCCTCTTGCTGATAGTCCATCAGATATTGTATCAAGGGCTGTATACTCTTTGAAAGGATTGGCTGAGAGAGGAGAGAGGGAGGGAAGAGAAGCAGTAGCATCAAGAGGCACAGCAGCAAAATCTTCATGGCCATCTGAGCGCACACGACCAGGCTGCTCTTGCGAGTCCATACCTTTGTCTGTGGCCGTGGACAGAAAGGAAAGTTAGCAAGAGTAGTGCAAGTGGTCTGAGAGTTAAATTTTAATGACAGATTCCAAAACAATAGCAAGTTCAAACCTTAGTGCTAGAAAGATAGCAGAAAAAGTGTACATTAAGTTAGCAAGAGAATGTGAATAAAGCAGCAAGTTTTGCACAATCCAATAATATTATTTTAAAAAGTCAAACCAGTGCCAAGGACCCAAGTTTTACAAAACAAACTTGGACTATTGGATCTCAAAGCAGATATAACGTAGACATCTTGGTGATAATCTCTTAACCATGCTTAAGAGGTTGGGGAAAGGCAACCGTCTAATACTCTTCTACCTCCCTTGTTCTCTGACATGGATTTTCTGCCCAACTTTAGCTATGATTTAATGTTACAAACTCACTATCGCTACTCATGGTTAACTATAAGTTCCTTCTTAACCAGCACTTGCAATCCACCTTCAAACCCTGGTTATGATAGGAATCCTGTTTAGCGCTAGCCATAAATGGCAACAGAGCATACACAATAAAAAGTCATGTTTAAGGCAGAAAGGGGAGTGGGATTTCATGCTGGGTAGAGAGGAAACCTATGGCCCAATCTCTTTCCCATGGTTAAGAGATGAGCAGTATTATATCTGTACTGATCAATACCAGACAGGTGTATCAACACTAAGACAGCATTAATTAATTAAAATTGCAGCCTGTTGTATTATTAGCAAAAGCTACTCTATTGTAAGCATTTTAGCTGTTAATTGTAGCTACAAGGTTTCCTACACAGAATGGTCCAAGAATTCACAAACATGATTTAAATGATAAATATGACATTGCTCAAGATGAAATTTTGAGCCAATGAAAACAGATTCTAAATTTAGAAAATTTGCTATTCTTGGACGCTTGACATCTTTTAGTGAATACAACTAGAAATGATTAGTGGGAAGTGAATACTCAAAAGACAAAGGGCATATTCTAATGTGAATGGTCTAGCTAGAATAACTTGCCTGCAGAAGAATGCATCAGAGGGTCAGATGCAACAGGAAGAGCAAAAAGGGTCTCATCTGAAAGACAAATACAGTATGACTATAGCAGAAATAAACAGGAAGAAGTTTCAAAGGGAAGGGGCAAAGGGAAAAGAGTATTCATCTCACAAACAGCAATTCATCTTACAAACAGCAAACGACCAGAGATTTAAAAAACAGTTGCATGCGTTTTTTTGTGGGGGGGGGTTTTCTATACAGCTAAGCTTTCCCCAGCCTCAGAAGCAACCCAAGCTGAACATTTTTAACAGGATACCCAGAAACTGGATAGACCAGATAAAGAATCTCAAGGTGATTCAGCCACTACCTCGTTGCTTACTCTTTTCAGGTCACCTAAAATTCTACCCTCCCTTCTACGGAGCAGTGATAACTCTGGTGTTGTTTGCATCATCCCTTACATCAGAAGTACGAAGAGCCTTATTTTTACCACCTTCCCTTGTCATCTATCCTTTGAATATGTTGCTATGGAAACACTTATTGCAGGATAAACTTATCACTAAAATTAAATTTTTGCAAACACAGCATTTCATAGCTATGTTCAGAAGTTTCATATGAATTGCAATATGCAGAGACTGGGAAGTTAGAAATTGATTTCTATACAAAGAACTTTTTAAATACTACATAGTTGTGATGTCAAGATTAGCATGTAACAAGGTTTCAGAATCTGAACCCTGAGACTCACACACACATTCTCAATCCAGGCCAATGTCTCTATACCCCAATATCAATTAGCAAAGCAGTAACCAAGATGAAAATGAGGTAAACTAAACAAACAGAAATGAGTGGATTGATTTAACCATTAACCCCCAATCAAGTTCTATATACCTTCTATTTCACATCATGCAACCAAATCTGGAAAGCAATTATTTACAGTATAATAGTAGGATAATCACTAAATATTCTGACTGATCCAGGAAGAGAAAGTGTTATGGAAAGGGGCACCTGTGCCCTGCAGGAGAAATCTGACAGGCTTTGTAATGAGGCAAAATGTTAATGGTGGGAAAGTAGTCAGGAGTATGAGCAAGCCAGAACATGTGTAGAACTGCTGAAGAGCTGGGTAAGAAGTATTACAGCTGAATGTTAATGCCTAAATTTGGACCTGCATCTACACCCTGAAGCCTGCTGGATTCTGTGTGGTTCTCTTCTCCTACTCTTTGACACCCACCCCCAAACCTGCATGTGCCCAAAGAGGCCAGTTTCACTAGCAAAAGTAAAAAGGTTAAGCTATCAAAACGCATTTCATAGCTTCATATTTAGTGGTATATCAGCCCTATGGAAATGCTGAAAGTGACCAAAAAAACCCCTCCTTAAATGTATGCATGTCTTTATGGAAGCCAACACACATGTAAAATATGTAAACTTCTCCATAATGGTTCTATGTTTGGGAGCAGCTGTGGTTTTACGGTAGAGTATCCACTTTGTATGAAGATGGTCCCAGATTCAATCCCTGGCATCTCCAGTTAAAAGGATAAAGTAGTAAGTGATGTGAAAGATCTCCACTTGAGACTACAGAGAGCTGGTGCCAAAGTACATACAAACTTGACTGACCAAGAATCTGACTCATTATAAGACAACTTCATGGCTTCATCTATATCTAAACCTACCCAAAGTAGCAACATTAATGAGTCTTCTATACTAAGCATTAAGTAGAAAGTGAAGTATGCTGGTGTAGACCTTGCTTTGATATACCCACTACAATATTAGCGTTTCTCAACTTTTAGGGATTTGTAAAGTTAGATAATATACAACAAAGAAAAATTGTTAGACAAACAGTTGTTTGATTTATAAATGTCAAAAAAAATCCAAAGATGCTTTGAAACATGCTTTATAACATCCCTGCTTTTTTACAGAGAGATCTTTGATCTAGTTTTAAAGCACTGAGAACACAATGGATCCAATCTTTGATCTGTACAAGTATAAACTACACAAAGGATCAGATTACAGCATTGCTTGGGTTCCCAAGTTAAACAATTGAGAATTAAGGAACACTAGTATTAAGACAGTCTCTGTATTCTTACTCAAGAAGGCAAAGACCTGGTTAAAAAAGAAAAGCTATGTACATTGTGAAGTTGAAACATAATGCATAGGTACAAGAAGTGACACAGATCTTGTCATAAATATTTTACTGCTTCATTTCATGCAGAACTTGGTATAAAGCTGCAGATGCCATAGTTAAGAATTTTGCAGGATCTGAATTTTACATTTTACAGCTGCAGCTACAAAGTTACAGTATCAAAAAAAGGATGCATTGCTGGAAACAAGAAAGAATTCCAGAGTTAGAAGAATGGATACAAAAAACTTTGTTTATGGCTGAGATGGACAAAATTACGAAAAAATTGAATAACAAAGAAGATCAGGAATTCTATGAGGAATGGAGAGACTTTAAAATTTACCTAGAAAAGAACGGGATGTAAAGCACAATCTATTATACTTAGAACAATATTGAAACTAGAATATGATGTTATCTTAAGGTGTACTGGAGTGACGAGGGGGGAAGCATTGCGGGAAGCCACGGGGAGGGGGAGAGTAAAGTGGGGGTATTGGGGGTAAAAATTGAAACATTAATGGAACTGATGACATGTCAATATTTTCATGAAAAATAAAATTGTGTTCTAAAAAAAAAAAAGGATGCATTGCTGAGGTGTCTCTTAACTCACTATTAGCCTACTGTCTTATAAAGAGGGAACAAAACAGAAAATGTGCCTTAAAGTGGTTCTGTTTAGCATATTTCACTTGTGAGGAAAGCCACTTCAGACTTCTAAATGGTAGGATGGAACTCCAAATTACTTTTACCTATGTAAAAACCCACCATCTGGTATGACAACAATTTACTAATTATAACTGAAGTTTTAGTAGCTTAATCAATTACGACCAACAACAGCTTACAACCCTAGTATCAACTTTATGTAGTACATTTTGAATATCTGCCAAGCTATTCATTGTGTTGACTTTTTACTTCTTGCTTGCTCTTCCTGAACAAATAGGTTTACTGCCACAAGTGACCCATCCTATCTACACTCCACCCTCAACTCATGTGTAACTTATATTGCCAGATAGGTAGGAGAGGTCAGCTGATTCTAGAAAGCCCTGAAAAGACCTATACTTGCTCCAACCTATCATCCTCCCAGGTTCTAACACAACAGAATGTACCAGGACACACAACCTGCCCCTCTGGAGTTAGATGAATGCCATCTGTTGTTGCTCTCAGACATGCTACAACTGCAGTTAACTGAGCTTTGTATTCTTTCAAAGCATTATGTGCACACTAGAAAATCTCTGCCTTGGAGCATGTGAATAGGGGGCTGAAGGAAAAGAACAGTTAGTGTTATATCCCACTGTTCTCTTCCCTAAGGAGTCTCAAAGCAGCTTACAATTGCCTTCCTGTCCTCTCCCCACAACAGACACCCTGTGAGGTAGGTGGGGCTCAGAGTTCTGAGAGAACTCTGACTGGCCCAAGGTCACCCTGCAGGCTTCATGTGGAGGATTGGGGAATCAAACCCAGTTCTCCATATTAGAGTCTGCCACTCTTAACCACTACATCATGCTGGCTGTTGGTAACACATGCTTCCACTTCCACTAAAAACTGTGTTTGCACAAGATCAATGGTTTTCAGTGAGACCTTGTGTAAACAAACTTTGAGTGAAAAAGGAAACACAGATACTATTTAGCACATGAAGAACTTGTTCACAGGATCTAAGATTAGTTGCTAAATTATCACAGAAAGCATGAATTCTGGATGGTTATTATTACAGGATTATCTATTTTATCAATCAACACCCTCTGTAACCAAAGAATAATTTCAAGTGTCCAATCATGAATCTGAAACCCACTCAAGCTGCAGGAAGCATCTCAAAGAACAGAACTCCAGTATGACAGAAAAGCTGCAACAGCACCTTCTGACATATCAGAACTTGGTACTCAGTGGTTTAAAATAACACTTCATAATTAGCGAGAACGATCTATACATAACATAAGGGGAATACAACAGACTCAGGGCCCAACTATATACATTATTAGGGGTGTGCAATTTTCTTTTACTGATATTTTTTCAGTTTGGGTCTACTGGACCCAGAAAAAAATTCAGGGTAACCGAAACATTCCGAATCCAAATACCATTAAAGGGACTGAATAAGCCTGCCTGACAAAAAGCAGAGAGGCAGGAGAAGAAGAGAAGAGATTGGATTTATACCCCGCCCTTCACTCAGAGTCTCAGAGCAGCTTACAAACTCCTTTCCCTTCCCCTCCCCACAACAGACACCCTGTAAGGTAGGAGGGGTTGAGAGAGCTCTTTCAAGAACTTACCTTTCAAGGACAGCTCTTGTCAGAACTCTAACTTATCTAGAGATGAGAGAAAAATTCTGAAGCAATTGGCAGATGATACCAATCGTGATCAAGGAGGCAGACAAAGGAGGTGGAATAGTGGTGTTTGATGTATGGGATTACAAAACAATTATTTTTATCCTTTTAAACGACACTAACCACTATAAACCTATTCAACAGAATCCCACAGCCCATATACAAAATTTAATAAAAGTCACTCTAACTGAGGCCCATAATTTGGGATTCATTTCGGATTCTGTTAAATCTTTAACTATTGAACACCCTAGGATCCCTTTGTTATGTGGCCTGCCTAAAATTCGTAAAAAAGGCCATCTGCCTCCAGTGCGCCCTGTAGTATCTGCAGTTGGCTTGGTTTTAGACTTTATGTCTTATCTTCAAAGGAGGAAATATTAGTATCTTATGCTGAGGCATAGTTACAGTATGCATTAATGTTGTTGTTGTGACACCACCAACTTTATAATTGTTTAATGTATTAATGTAGTGGCTCAAGGGGTTAAGACGCTGAACTGCAGGCTGTGGAAGGTCGGTAGTTCAGCAGTTCGAGACCCGAGGGTGCCACATGAT